GCCATTATATATTCAACATTTTCGGTTCACACGGGGAATAATCGAAAACCTGGAAAATCGATATGCGGAGTCCACAAATGTTTCTAAAATCGTTTGCGGTAAGCTGAAATCTCGAACTGGAAATTAACTTGACATTCGCATTCGTGCAAAATTCAGAACATCTCAATTTCAGTTCACAACTAGTTCGTTTGCTGAACCGCCAATAAAATATTTTCAGACCAAGGATCCGATTTTTGAAATGCGGTAATAAAATCGCTAGTAAAAAGTATTACTTTTTCGACGTGTGGTTTGACGTTTATGAAATACATTTGTGAATGCACCTGTTTTCGGTAAAATAATGTGTTATTAGGTTTTTCACGTCATTAGACCTCCTATAACAAAGTTCACTTCATGGTGTCCAACACCAGACATTAACTGCAGACTTCTCAGCTTCCTTCTCAGATTCTTTGTGTAACGTCATCCAGTCGTTTTTTATATTATTTAGAGTACTTCACGTCAATCCTCTGATAAGATCCTTTGTTCAGCTGCCTTGACATGTTACCTTCCTGGGAAAATTTCTATCCTATGCCATTTCAGTGAGGTTTTGCGGGAATTTTTTCCCACAATACGAACTCGGGTGTTCCACAGGAAACGGTTCCGGCTCCAACGTTCCTTGCATTATTGATATATATATATATATATATATATATATATATATTTTGAGACGTGGTCATTGTCGTCTAGACCAGTTAGGTGAAAAATTAAAGCTTCCGCCTTTTGTTGGGTACTTCGACAAGATTTAAGCAAAGAGGACTCTTTATACTTTTTTTAATTCTCTCTAGCTTTCAATGGACTTTGCCATTATCATCAGTACTAGCACCAACCCGGACTGCAGACCTGGTTTTGCTGTCCTGCCCTACATCAAGGAACTGACCCCTAAGCTGATCAGATTGTGCAGTCCTTTGAACTTTCGAATTGCTTGCAAATCCGTCCTCACTATAAACTGCATTTTTTCAAAAATGAAAGACAAAGTCCCGCTGCTTGGCTTAACCAACACAGTCTACTCCATCAATTGCAACAACTGCAACCAAATATACATAGGTCAGACCTCCAGATCTCTTAAAGGAAGGATTACATCACACAAAAGTGATGCTAGGCTTCATCCTGAAAGATGCGCTCTAGCATCTCATGTTAACACAACAGGGCATTCTATGAATTACACAAGTATCAAAGTTCTTGATAAAGAAAAACACCTTTCCAAACGTTTATTCCTGGAAATGTCCCACATTTTCATGAATAACAACTGTATCAACAAAAAGACAGATGTTAAACAACTGAGTGTCATTTACTCATATTTGCTAAACTGCGAAAAATTGGAGAACTTACATATCTCCCCAAATTTCAACTCTTCACAACCATAATTAGAATCTGTGTTTTGGCCGTTTCCACCAGTAAATTTCATTCCACTCAAAATATAATAATTCTCTCCTCACGATTTATTAATAATTGTTAACTTAAATTCCCATTAATAATAATATAGTTTATTCAACTGCCTCTGGTCGGTTTAACAAATTCTAACATAAAATTCTGAAAATCTCATCATCTGAAGTGATTTGGCAACGTTTTGGCACACGCCCACAATTCGTTCCATCTTTCAATACTGACATTGACATCCTTCGGCCTTCTGTCAAAGGGTTTCATGTCACTCATCAATTCATCATTCCATGACCACTAATTTGTGCAATCATCAGGTGGTTTCACGATGTAATGCTCTAATTTTTAAAATAATTTTTAATCTGTTTTTAACTTGTTCTTGTCATGTTTTGTATAAATTTTGACTATTGTGCAATCTATTCAGCTCTCACCATGTTACTGGACGTTTCCCTCATCCTATACGTAAACAACAATTAGCAACATCCTCACATACTACTGTAAGTTGAGTCAATTCAAATTCATTTTACACCTTTGTTGCTACTGTTATCATTGTAATTGCAGCTCCTGATGATGATGGCAAAGTCCATTGAAAGCTAGAGAGAATTAAAAAAAGTATAAAGAGTCCTCTTTGCTTAAATCTTGTCGAAGTACCCAACAAAAGGCGGAAAAAATATATATATATATATATATACAGGGTGACTTTGAAGTTGATTCATTAATTTTCAGATAATGATTGTAGAAGGAAGATAAACCAAAATATGTGTGTAAAAATAAAAAAAAATTAAAAAATTTTTTTACCTTGTTTGTATTTGATCGTGAGGTCTTGGAGCACCGGCATGCAGTCCCCTGTGAGGTCTTAAGTCACCTGATTCACGAGCCCGTTGTACTACATTAACAAAGGCACGAGGGGTTGGTTGCATTCGATTGGGAAACCGATCCGCATAAATATGTGCCATTTTTTATTTCGTTTGAGCCACGCAGCAAACACCACTATTCACTCACGTGTTACCGACTGACACAGACTGTATAAAAACATCGTGATCAGCGTTTCAAATTCTTTCGCTTTTTTGTTTCCGATGCGATGAACCGATAAGGCGGAGTATATCCGTTGTTGCCAAACACGAGCACATAATATTATTATTGAGACAGAGCGGTACTCAAACTTCTAAAGGGCTATAACTTTGTTACTTTAATTTTACCACAAAAATGTTAAAGGAAAAAAACATTTCTTTTGATCAGATCTACTCACTGGTATAATAAATGACTCAAGTGACTTTCTAATAAAAAAGTAATAGAAACTATATAGAAAAAAAGATAAACATTTTTTTCTCGAAAACTATGCGAAATGACCTGTTTTTATAACACAAAAAATTTAAGTAAATAAAAGGAATAGTTAAATAAAAAAAACCGAGTCGTTGGGAAAGCTGCGAATAAATTCTGCTATAATTTATTTAGGGATGGGTGTAGATTTCACCCTTCTCGAACCCGTTTAGATTTTTTTGTAAAAGTCAAATATCAGGACGTCTAGCAAAATACATTTGTTCCACTTTTCATTCAAATCGGATTATCGTTTCCAAAAATATCTGAAAAAATGTGTTTTAAAAAGACAACTTTGACTCCCGCTAACGGACAAACGAAGCATTTTTGCATAGAGGTAAATCATATCCAATCGACTTATTTTGAGTGTCTACGGAATATTGGGATACCCTGTATAGCTGGCAGATCAACACCGAAATCAATATACGGTGGAGATTGTTACTACATGAAAACGTTGCCGTTGATGATCGGTAGTGGTCTTAACCTTTCAACAGACGAACTTGTAGATTTGACCTCTTGTCCATGGTTCCCTGATCTATAGTTAGCTGGTAAGATGGCTCTGATATATTAATAAATGATCTAAACCTATAGATATGCATTTTAAGATAAGTACAACACAAGTTTAGCATACCAGAAGAACTGAAACAGATTACAAAAACATAAAAACATTTGATAAGTTACAAGTAAGTTAAAAATGTTGATGTATGAAAATATGATGCACATAAAATATAACTGCAGAATATTCAATATTTCAGGTTCTGAAGGTATACACTGTAACAGCTATACAAACAAAAGAATGTTATATTGGAATATTTGTGCGGGGTGAAAAATTGTAGCAACTGATTTATGTATTTTTATTCATAATACATTTATTTATATCTTTTAAATTCGTCATATGATAGTAGTTTTGTAGCTCTAGTCATGCCATTGTAAAAAATAACTGCGTTGTAGGTGAAGCATTTGCGAACGGATCATGTACTGTGAAGGAGCATTTTTAGTGTTCTCGTAAATCGAAATGAATATTGCTCCTGGACATCAGTGTATTTTTCAAAAACGGGAGAACGGATGAGAGCAAAAGTCTATGGGTGTAAGTAACTAAGTGTACCTCACACAGTTCTTGCACTCAACCATTCCATGTCATTGAAAAAAGAGCAGATATGATCATATATTTTCAAATTTCTGAACAACCTAAAACATTAATTTTGGATTTTCTGAAGACGTGTGAGAGACATTGAGTCGAGAACCTGAAGATAAGCTAAATCACGATAACTAATTTCGGACATTACCAAAGATTCACAGATTTTTGTTTAGTTATATCGATACGTATTTGCCAAAGTAACGTAAGTCACCAAAAACGATTTCGGAGAAAAAACGTGTTTTTAATTTAACCTGGTTAAACTTTTTTAAATTGTGCAAAATTTACCAGGGTGTTTCTCTGAGGTCTATATTTATTTAAGAAAATGATTTCTGAAGTTTTTCTATAGTTTTAGTGGTTAATTGATACTTACGTTATTTTACGGGTTCAGAAATCTCGAAGTCTTGATCAAAAATGTAACGTAAGTTCACAGATACGTCAGTTTGGCGGCAAATTGTAGCACTTAAAGTATTTTAGAAAGAATTAAAAACTATCGTTTATTATTAAAAAAACACAAAATAACGTTACAAAAGAAAATATGAAATTCTTACTAGTAAAAAATATATATTTTTTTAAGTTTTGGAGCTTTCATCTTCATTGTCATCCTGTGCATCAGTTTCTGCTAACTCATCTGGAAGAGAAGACTTACATTTTAATTTAAAGAATTCATCGTGAAACCTGGCAGGTATGACATGTAATTAACTAACGGCTGAAAATATTCTTGTACATCGCCTTCCTGTTCAAATTGAACACCCACTGTCCCATTTGAGCTATCAGTACTTATTGGTACATTTATTTCTTCTTGCATAGTATGGTTACCATCATTTTCATAAGGACTCGAATTGTTAGAAGACAATAATATTTTCGGAATTATCTAGATCAAAAATATTGTCACTTGAAATAATGGATATCGGCATAGACCAGATTTCTTCCTCAGAATAAACATTATTCGATTCATCATTTTGGCTAAGAGCCGCCAAAATCCTTTTTGTTCATGAACTGACCATAGACATAATCTGAAAGTAACCGAGCATTCATGTTTACAATGTTTCATAGCTTCTATAAAAATTAGAATAGAAACAAATACAACAGTCTTTCTCTAACTTCAACCGATTCATTCCTGTAAATTTCTCACCGGCTTCGAGGTTATGACAGAATAACTTCTAATAAATAAACGAAATTAAATATGAAATGGGAGTTTTATAGGTAGGTACATAATATTAGTTAAGGTTTTAATATTTTTAAATTCTAACTACAAAAAAACGTTTTCTTAACTTCAACCGATTCATTCCTGCAAATTTCTCACAGACCTTGAGGTTATCACACAATCATTTGTAATAAATGAACGAAATTAAATATGAAATGGATTTTATAGGTATGTACCTACATAATATCAGTTAAGAATGTAATATTTTTGAATTCTAACTATAAAAAAATGTCGTTATTATTTCCTAAAATCAATAATTAGTCGATGGTAGCACGAACCTGACACTGTCGTAAGCCAAACACTGACTGCGAAAATCTGACGTAAGTCGCAGAAACCGACAGGGACTTACGTTATTATGGCGGTAAACAACGTTAGCTTGCAACTATGATGGAAATAGTGTTAAAGTTACGTTTCTTTCACGGATATGATTTAAAAAATTCTGGACATACGTTTTCAAAAAAAGTTAAAAACAAAGGTTTAAAGTAAAAGCTAGGCTTCCTACACTTTGGCAGTACCTTATCAACAATAAAATCCTTACGTTAATGGAAAAACATGATTTTCACCAAAAATGTCACTTACGTTACTTTGGCAAAAATGCATCGATATAGTATAATGTGTAGTCAAGAAATTGTTTATTAATAGATAATTGACGTAAAATGGAAAAATAACTCCTACTGATATTATTTGCATGCGGTATAAAACTTAAAACAAGTTTTTTGCTGACTCACTTGCTTCTATAGTCTCACCAGTTAAGTTTTTTAATTACGTATATCCTAGCTCTGTAACCCCTTCTTTCTAATCTTAACTCCAAGGACATAAACAAATTACACCAAAGAAGCCAATCAATGATCCCCGTAAATCGCATTTCTCTTATCACTCCCTCCCACTTCCAACAAATCTCAAGCCCCGCTACTGCCATGCTCTAATCCGCTCATAAAAACTGTTTAGTGTTTCGCCCGTAAACAGTATCGCTGTCGCTCCCCCCACCTCAATCTAACTCGCGGTTCCGGATTCACCGCTCTATCCGTCTGTCTCTGTCACGTTCGTATGTTATTCTATAATCCTCTCTCTGTTCAAGCCACGCCTACAGACTCCGGGTTGGCTGGTCGTATCTCCTCCCCTAGCAACCTACGCGCTCTCGCCACATCTGACAAATGGTCCAGTCGGACGGCAATTGTTTCAGGCACAGCTCATCTGATAACGCCAACTTGATCGCTCTAATCTCAGTGTGCTCTGTGACAAGTCGCGGTTGAGACGTGGTCGTGAGGTTTTGAGGACTTTGGTGCTTTTCGGGAGAGTTGAGGAGGCTCTGCCTCCAGGTCCAGCATCACGATTTTCGGAGATAGCCATAAGGTGAGTCTAAGGCCAGTTTTTATAGTTGCCTCTCGAGTCATGAGTGATGCTTAAGGGTTGATGTTGGACAAACAGCGTACACTTACGGGAAACTTAAGCGCAGTCAAGGCACGACTGTTGATATCGAAATCAAATGAGTTCCTTTTTCTGCTTATTTTAAGCAGAATTTGCAGCTTCTAATTTGATAATAATCTCGCACTTTCACATTTTGATTGTAAAATTCTACCGTGATGTGAATAAATTGACCTTATAATAATTGGATTAAATATATGTTCAACTTTAAAATATTCTGTAAATTCAGTTTAATTTAACAATAAGAAGAGGAATTAGATTAAGGCCTATAATTAGGCTTTATTGAATTTATATACCTCATTGAAAGCACATACAATTATGAATCTATGTTGTTGAAAGTAAATCTGTACCCTAGAAAAAGCATATCAGTATCATTGGATTTTTTAAACGATGGGACATTTTTGGGGAGGCACACGTTTTCCATGGCCACTGCTTCCCAGGTTTCTTTTTCATTTTATAAGTTCACCGATCAATCATGCTTCTACTTCCTACGCCTACTGGCGAGGAAAATGTAGAAAATGAGATACAATCTATTTCGGATATTACATGAACACATCACGAAAAACCATTTCACTCATTATTTGCATCGGTCTGTCTGTCTTTCCGATAATCTTTGGACCGCCTATAATTTAATAAGTACTGCTGGGATTTGGATGAAAACTTCACACGAGGTTATAACTGTCAGGAACGACAAAGCTTTACAGATTTAAAAAATCGGTCCAGTGGCGACAAAGCTAGGGGCAAAAATAAAAATCGCTCAAACTTCATTTTTTTGACGGTTTTCATAAAAATTATTGTAGGGTTGAAAATCTGGGGTTGTAGGAGGTAGGGGAGGGTTTATGTGATTTTGTTGGCGGCAGTATATTACTACGCTGCCAACCCCAGTAACATATTTCGCATATCAAAGATGTCTCAGTACATTTGCTCTTATAACTTGAATAAATATTTTTGGACGAGACACACGGCCGGTCAGGACGATCCGATGCAACGGCGACTGCCTTGTATCGCCGAGGATGTTATATAGTAACGTGACTGGTATTTATGATGTATTTGATTGGTGTGGATCAGCAGTGTTGTCAGGTGGTCGATATTTAGGGCGTTATCAAATAAATTTGAATCATGGAGTATGCACTAATTGTATATGGGCTTGTTTGACTGACTTGGCCCTTATTTTCTTGTTATACATGTTTATGGCTAGTGACTAACTTGATCCGAACATAATCTTTTATAAACTGATCACAGCGTTGCGTGGGAGTCAACCTATTTGACGACATTGTTATGATGCCTTAAATTATTCCATAACAGTCAAAAAGAATGTTTTTACTTACCTTTACATCAGCTAATTCAAAAAATCTTTGTAAAATGATTGGGAATGGATTTAACTACGGCAACATTTATTACATGTTATTGCAATGCTGGTTGCCTGTAATAGGAAAATGTGTGACAACCACGGTCATAGCACGATGCCGCACTTAAGCGTCATGACTTAAGTCGTACTCAACAAGTGACGGATGTAAATACTGGTACAAGCTTCCGGTGTTCAGGAGACAGGATTATTTCTCTACGGCTTTATTGTACAGGGTGTGAATGAATAGCGTTGATGATCAACACAAGACTAGTTTGCTCCACTCGAAGTAAATGTGATTTATGTTTTACGCAGACTTTTATATCAGGATTCAAAATTTCAAGGTATATCCCCACAACCAACAGGGTGTTCCTTAATGAAATGCGAATATTTAAGAGTGTGAATCAAATTGAAAAATTAATGTTAGTTTGTTTTATAAACTATGGTCCAAAAATGTTTCCTTACAAAAACTCAGGGTATTGAAGTTTTAGGAAAAAAATGGAAATTAATTAATATTTTCAGAACCGCTTCAGATATTCCACTGATATTTAGTAAGTAGTGAAAGCTAATAAAGTTGCATATTTTTGAATGCAAAAATAATGTTTAGCTTTAACAGTGGCTTGCGTACGGGTATTTATTTCGATATTTTTTTAGAATAAAATGGTACGCAAATCGTATTTTGCTAAATAAAAATTATTTTTGAATTCCCCGTTCAATTTAAAACAAATGATCTCTCTTGAATTGTTTTCTTTCAATGCGCCATTTTTGAGTAAAAAATTAAAAACCGTTCAAGCGGGCAACGGTGTGGCCTGATATCGCCCACTCAACCTGTGACCGTCAAGCGATACAAATATTTTATTTTACACAGGCTGTTATTAGCGACTTCGTACGTTTGAAATTATTACTAATATAAAGTATTTTTTTACAAATGCTATTGACTTCTACCACCGGCTATGCTTACATCGTAGGTAGCCAAGCGCTTGGACAGCTACAAGGCACCATAGTTTTGTGCATAAAGGAAGTTCTGTGCTCGTTTACATCGTGACCATGCACCATATCCGAGGTCTATAAATTAAGTGATAAGACTGGCAACGTCGCGTCCGATCTGGCAACACTATAGGCGCCGGGCATGGAGGAGGGATAGGGAGACATATGGTCCTCCTTCAGTACAAGTATAAACACGCTCGAGTCGTTTGGTTGTCCGTAGAGATTTTTTTGTGGAATATTTTTTCCTATTCCTTTCTAAAAATGAGTGACAGCAATTTCGAGCAACGTTGTGCTATCAGATTTTGCTTCATACTTGGTCAGAATGATACGGAAACTCTTGCTAAGCTTCAGAAGGCCTACGAAGATAGTCTTTTGTCAAGAGCCCAGGTTTTTCGGTGGTTTAAGGCATTTTTAGAAAAGAGATAGTCGATTCAAGAACGGACGGAAATATCGCCAGAATCCGGGATCTTGTGCGCTCAGATCCTCAGTTGACAGTCAAAATGATCGGAAATAAAAACATTCCTGTGGCTCTTCAGCATCCTTGTTCGCCTGAATTGAGACCTTGTGGGTTTTTTCTTTTACCGAAGTTGGACAACCACCTCACGAGAACTCATTTTGGGACAGTCGAAAACATTCAAACGGCTGTAACCGATCAGCTAAAGGCTATTCCAGTCTCGGAGTTCCAACACTGCTATGAGCAGTAGAAGAACTGTCTCCAGTGCTGTGTAGCTTCAGAAGGAACTTATTTTGAGGGTGACAATAGAAAATTGTAGTTATGTTTGAATAAAAAGATTAGATTAAAAAAATCACATAAGTTACAGGCCTCGTAAGCGCTTGGCTACCAATGGTGTAAACATCACTTTTGATGGCATCAGTAGATTGACAACCACTTTGCGTGTTTGGGAAATAGTAATGCCACCTACGTGTTCCACGGAGAAAACCGCAGGGCAGAAAGCTAGTACTGTTTATACGTTAAAATTAATAAAAAATTAATGTGAATTTTGAAACTAATATTTTGCTTTAAATGTAGAATTAATAACTAAGAAAATACGTAGCAACCACCGAACCCGAGGACTGAATACTTCTCAACTTGTTCCTCCTCTCACCATACCTTTTCATCACCAACATACATGTCATACGTTTGTTCTTTAATTTTCACATACCAACGATATTAATCGGCTGCCTAATCAAATCCTCATATCTTAATTCTCCTTAAATGGCCCTATTATAGTAGTGCGAAGAGTAGAGCCCTTTGTGTTGGCAATAATAAGCTAGCACAAAGGGCAAGCACAGGAAATACCACTGAGAAAAGTGGCGTACACGTTTTGAAATTCGCACAGTTCGTGTGGTTATCTGGCATCAATCGAAATATCAGTAATTGTACAGGGCGAGTCAAGTTAAAATTCAGTTTGGCAAGCATTTCTCTAAAAAATTAATGCTAAACTTACTGATGTTTGTATATAGCTTTCTCTGCGATTCTGCACATAATACAGGATTGGACTCAGCGCAATTTAAATCCTTTAAGAAAAAAATTAGTTACGAGCATGTACGAGGGTGGTCCCAGAAGTACCCGGCCTGACCTAGAGATGGCGATAGTTGTTTGAAAAATATCATTGTATTAGAAAGTATGCAACCTATAAAGCATATGTGTCAAGTTTTTTGGGATGCGCGTGGGATAATTTTCATTGACTATCTTGAAAAAGGTAAAGCTATCAACGGCGAGTATTATGCGGACTTATTGCAACGTTTGAGCGATGAAATCAAGCAAAAATGGCCGCATTTGGTTAAGAAGATAGTGTTGTTTCATCAAGACAATGCACCAGCTCACAAATCCGTTATTGCAATGGCCAAAATTAACGAATTAAAGTTTGAATTGCTACCTCATGCACCCTATTCACCAGATTTAGCCCCCTCGGATTATTTTCTGTTTCCAAACTAGAAAAAATGGCTCAGGGATCAAAGGTTTTCCAACGATGAAGAAGTGATGTCAGCAGTTAATGGCCATTTTGAGGAGCAAGACAGTTCTTATTGTAAAAAGGGTATCGAACTTATTGAACATCGCTGGGAAAAGTGTCGGGTACTTCTGGGACCACCCTCGTACAATAAATTAGTCTATATGCATTCTTTTCCTGCCCTACCGGTGGTTGCTGTCCATCTGGCTACGTTGTCGCTGCAACGAGTTATCGTTCATTTCGTGCATGGTCAGCGTCTGTATTTTTTTCGCAGTAGATATAACTATAGATCGGATATACTTTTCCGTAAATATCGATATTTCATACAGTCTTAATATGCTTCTTCAGTAGTTGTTGATTAAAACTTGCTTAAATTTCAGATGATACTTTTCATAAGAATCGAACAAATTAGGCTAATTGGATATTTCAAGATTAATGGCGAATTTTCAAAAAGCTCGACATTCGGTATCAGAAAACAAACTATTACCAAACCTTTTGTCTCAGAATAACCCAAAGAATTATCCTTCAAGTCAAGTTTGGCTAGGTACTTAGTTAACCTCCTGTATAATTGCGGCATGAAGTTATGATGATGATAGAACTGAAATATATCATCGTTACACTCACTCACATTTATAAAATGTGCTTTGCAGCAGCGGCATCTGCCAACAATGAAATGAGCAAAAGGGGTGTAATTGCATTAACATGCTTGAAAGAATTCGACTACACGAGTTAAACTGACTGAAAATGGACGTGTGTTTTCAGCTTTAACGCCTTACTGGATGCTCACTCATTTCTGATAATTACTTGTCATTGAACGGAGGGTTCCGTAAAATTGGGGTTGGAGCATTTGCGGAATCAGTTTTCAGGACGAAATCCTTGACTAAAAACTGATTGGCCGATAATTTTAATAATAATAAGCTATCTCCGTCACCATCTTGTGGAACAAACAAGTAATTACCGGTCAGACAGTGCCTGCAATCAAACCAAATATGGTAATTAAAGACACCAACAAATGGCATATGATCGACGTAGCCGGGTCCAATGACTACAATGTGCGGGAAAAAGAGTCTGAGAAAATTGTGACCTGTCAAGTGAAATCAACAGAATGTGGCATATGAAAATACAGATCGAATCTGTGTCCACTTATTAAATTATGTAGAGAGATAATATCTAAGGACATCCACATGCAACTGCTTCTAACAGCAGTAATAGGTACCGCACATATCATAAGAATAGCTTTAGGCCAGAGTTCCCCAAACTTTTTTGTGTCGTAGACCCCTTGCCATGTTTTTCCGTGTTGGGTAGACCCCCTACTTACCTGATACTGATTTCCTGTAAATTTCTAACTGTAGCAAAGTTTAGTGTTAAAAACTTAAAGTAAAAACACATGTTAATTTATACATTTATTAATTGAATTTAAATTAAAACTACTCAAAATAAAATTTTGTATCTGTTATGTAAAATATACGTAACATTAAATAAACAGGTGTCTGACCAATAAGTACCCGCATTGGGAATAAGTGCATTGAAAAAAAAATAGGAGGGATAAAATAAAAAAAAGTGAAAAATAATAAAAAAAACTTTTTTACTTAAAATAGTACAATAAGCGAGTTCGTTTATTAATTATAACATAAACGAATGTTCTACAATAATTTCACTGTTACTTTGATTAAATTCCGCTTCTTATACGTTTAAGTTATCTAAAAATAGGCAAAAAATTAACGAATCTTAGTGTGTACCTATCCTTGAATTTTCAGAATAATTAAAAAAAAAATATTTTCTATAAAGGGGGGTTCTTTAAAAAAATCAATGCGGGCACTTATTCCCAATGCGGGCATTTATTGGTCAGACACCAATAAACATAAAATAAACTATAAATAAAATAACATAAGCAATAATTCAATATTTTTAGTGAGAAGGATGAACCTGATGCTTTAATAATAAATTATCAACATTTGGCGTCAATTTTGTAAGGGTTAATCTTAAATCTCCTCGGCTAATGATGTCCAGTCTGTTTCTTTTTTTCGTTAGGAGATTGGTAACAGCGCTGAACCCCCTTTCCACTAGGTATGACGATGGAAAGGAAATTAAAAATTTCCTCGCTATATTCCATAATACGGGATAAGTAACGGGTTTGTTGTTTTGTAGCCAGAATTGCTGATATCCGTTTTCAAACTGAACCTTAAGTTCTTCGTTTGTACTTAGTTCAGTCAGTTCCTCTTGTATTATGACAGTCGTTTCTTCTATGTCACCATATGGATTAATTATCCACGGTGGTATTACCATAGTCAAAATATCCTCAAACCTAGATTCAAAATCTGAATAGAGGGAATTTAAATGTTGAACGTAAGTTGAAACGTCGTCTTCCTGGCAGCTTGTCTGTGACAAATTGGGGAACTGAGAAAATTCGCCCCGTTCAATATTTTGCTTCATTTTTTTAACTCGGGTAAGAAACGCTGATAAGATGGACTTTGTTTTAATCAAATTTAAACTGTCGCCTTGTAATTGCAAATTAACCATATTAAATTTTGTAAACAAATCTGTTAAATAGGCGATGTCTGTTTTCCTCTTCATTAAATCTTCTTTTAAAATGTTATCTTTAGTATCCAGAAATTCTAAAATAGTCTCAAAAAGTGCAAAAAATCTTGTCAAACATAAGCCTTTCGACAGCCAGCGTACTTCAGTGTGAAGGAGTAATTGATGAAAGTGTTCGTCATTTTCTTCACACAACTGTGCAAATAACCGCGTATTCAACGCGTTGCTTCGGATTCGGTTTAGTGCATCAATGACTAAATGAAGTGATTCATGCAATCTAACACTCAAATTTTTAGCAACTAAATGTTGTCGATGGATGACGCAATGTATTGCTAACACCCCTGACACATTTTGTTTTAAATAGCTTATAAATCCACGATAACGTCCAACCATGGCAGGTGCTCCATCTGTAGCTACTGATATTATATTTGATAAAGGAATTGCTTTTTCAATGAAGTAATCCTTCAAAACATGAAATATTGATTCACCTTTAGTGTCGGTTATCAAAGTTCTTGCGAAGAGCAGTTCTTCGTAGATTTCTTGATTCATAATAAAACGAACATATGCCAATAATAATGCTGCATTATCAGGCAAGGGGACTCGTCCAGTTGTATAGAGAAATGGGTCGTTTGCAAATAATTACATAAGAAGCTTTCAATATCAGAACTCATTTCATCAATACGTCTTTCAACAGTATTATTGCTTAAGGGAATTCTTTTAATGATATCAGATGCAGGTTTGTGTAAAACAGATTTTAAAACCTCTTCAACGGCTGGCAAAATTAACTTCTCTCCGATAGTATGCGGTTTTCCGGATTTTGCTATAAGTAACGAGATATTGTAAGACGCCCGCAAACCATCATCATTTCTTTGTGACGTCGAAGCGAACATTCTGTCCAGTGTAGGTCTCTTCTGAAATTTATCTTTGAGTGTTTGAAAGTATTTCAAATCTTTCTGTTTTATCAGGGTGGCATCTTCTCAGATGATCTTGCAGTTTAGATGGTTTCATAGCGTCATTGCCCAAAACTTTGTTGCATAAAAGGCACATAGGCGATTGTTTGTCCGGCAATGATGGAATGAAGCCAAATTTCAAATAATCAACACTATACTGTCTACATTTCTTTTTAGATTCGGACATGGCATCAGTCATCTGAAATTAAATTATTTAAATAAGACAGAAAATCCAGCAGCTGTATATTAAAAATATTTTTTGATTTTTCCGAAAACATTCCATAATTCGAACATCTTCTTGCAACAATTAGCTCGAATTACGGAGATTGCACTGTAATTATATAACCGATTGCTAAAACTTTCAAAAAGAAACTATTGAGGAGTACTCGTGTAATGTTGCATGATTGAATATTTAACTACTAATAACTAAAGTCATGATTGGCGTAATTTATCTACCTTTGCTAACTACGAGTACAAAACTAAAATTTAATAAAAAATAATGTACTTACTTTTCTCCAGCACTCTCAAACAAAATAACACTGACTCACTATAATTTGTATGATATACTATCTGTTTATATTTTTTTAAATATTTTCTTAGCACTTTCCTTTTCAAGATTCAGGAAACGAATAAACGTATTTGTCCCACATTCGTATTTATAGAGTGACGAATTGAACAAGTCAGTGCAAGGTAGCGAAGCTCTGAGACTGCGACTCTCAGGTTTTTACAAGTTCAAAATGTATTGCGACCACAAAGCGAATACCAACATCCTACAACTTGCACAATTTTATAAACATATATAATAAAATAAATACATTTTTTACTTCATAGGTACTTTTATAAATAATGTATATGTTTTGATATTATAAGATAGTATGGTGTAAGTAAATAGGTACTATCAGTGTATGTGTTGAGATCCACTATCGTGGACCCCCATATTCATTTCATGGACCCCCAAATTTTTTTGCTGACGTAGACCCCTTGCAGGTTGTCATAGACCCCTAGGGGTCGATATAGACCACTTTGGGAATCAATGCTTTAGGCTGACCCCAGGGTTGTGGTGCATCCCCGGCTAGAGAAAAAAGCACAATGCCCAGCTATCACCGCTTAAGCTGTGAAATGAAGAGAAGATAATAATAATAATAATGATAATAGTAATAATGATAATAATAAGTTATATGAACTTGGTTTAACCCGTTCATCTAACATATTTATCACTCTGTGCAAAACATCTGAAGAAAATAATAATAATAAGCCCAACCGTTTAATACCATTTATACAGGGTGTAAACGTTAGGGTAGTCATTATTGAAATGTTTAATAGGGGGGGTCAAAACAAGTCAAAAGTTCATATGACCCATGGTCCACAAGGCAATAGATTTTTGTCACCACAATCTTACTAATTTTTATAATCGAATCCAAAAAGTTTTTAAATTGGGTAATTATCAAATAAATGGCATTCAGTTTTTCTAAGTTAAGCCAACATTTGTAGTCAGTAAGTAAGTTTCATTAAATTAAATATTTAAAACACACATGGCAATAGCGCGTCGGTCTTTCGTCACTATAAGATCTAGCACCAAAACTTTCTAGATTGTGCAACACTTTAAATTGTCCTCCTCACAGTCTACAATGTTTTCTCCAAAATGAAAGATAGAGTTCCTCTGCTCGGCGTATCCAACATCGTCTACTCCATCAATTGCAACAACTGCAATCTCACATACATATTTCAAACCTCAAGATCCCTTAAAGGTAGAATAGCCTCACATAAAAGTGATACCAGACTGCACCCAGAAAGATGTGCTCTAGCTTCACACGTGAACTCCCCGGGGATCAAATGAGATACAATGATATCAAGGTGCTGGACAGAGAAAATCATCTATCAAAACGCCTGTTTCTGGAAATGTCACATATCTTTATGACAGACATTTGCACGAACAAAAAAAACGCTATGCATATTTGCTGAACTGCAAAAAATTGGAAAAACAACACATCTCCCCCAACATCGATTTCTCCCAATAATCGCTCAATCTACATAAAATAATTCTTCACTATCTTAATAAAATCAAAATCAAAATTGCTCAAAGTCTTTTGTCCTCAAGTGTGAATATTCCCTACAGATTTCTTAGTTGTTTGGTAGGATAACATCCAAATCACAAACCTTCCAAAGCAACTTCTATCAGGTTTTGAAAACATCTTTGTACTTCATCGGTCAATAATAGACGAAACTCTTGCGCTATATATTACAAAACTTCTTACTATTAGGCAACACACTTCACAGGACGACATAATGGGTGACCTTCCAATAATTTTCAATGTCACACTTCATACGCCGCTGTAGAATGTTAGTCAGCCAGCACGTGTTGGATAATGTGGAGGTTATCAGTGGAAAAAAAAGATGAAATCTCGAAGGAATTTTCAATAGCTGATAGTTTTAAAATCTCCAAATTTCTTCCAAAATCAATCAACGTTTAATTAAAAAACCTTTCAAAATGATTTGCCATTTAATAATAAAATAATTCCGTCCTAATCGATCCTCATCAGTAAATTTTTTTTTATTCGTCGACTATGTGTGCCCTTCACTGTTGTTTAAACACAATTTCAACAACAATCTCGCCGACTTAATAAGTAAATATGTTTCTCATAATTGTTAATTGTTGCTATTGTCAATAATTGTTTCCAGCTCCAGACGATGAAGACATAGATCTTCGAAAGCTTGAGAGTATAAGTTATAAGAGTGTACATCTACCCAAAGAAATTAAAGGATATATATATACGTATATATATACCTGTATATATATATATATCCTTGAGGTATTTTGTAAAAAGCATTCACGAATGTCAATCAGTACCTACAAAAACCATAGCTAGAATTTGACAGAAAGAGTGGTAAGAAAATCAAAAATGATCACGCAGTTTGCACTTCAGTTCGCGTAGGCAACAAAAAATATGTCGCATACATTGACTACTTAATTAGCATTCACAGACATCATCTTAACAGACGCTTTTGTCAGTATTTCACCTGAGTCTTCTGGCATAAAAAGAAACATTATATCTAGATATTAGTCGCTATACTAGTATTTGTAGGAAGCATTGTGGGACAAACTATTAGACTATGCAACAATTTATACAAAACTAGAATTGCTGATTGATTACGCCGCTGTTCTAAGAACTGGAAGCTAAATCCGTATAGGAGGATGTTATATTCTGTATCTAGTATGATACATGCGATCAATCATAAAACACAATGATTTTGAAAATTCCTTTTGAAGTTTATCAACGGCGTCAACATATTGCCATATCAGAGATCCATATTCGAGCGTAGACCTAACGAAGCTAAAGTATAAAGTCTGTAAGGTAGAAGCATAAACATTCTTACAATTCCTAATAATATAACTATAGGTCATCGAAAGAACTTGTAATAGTTTAATTAATATGTTCATGGAAAGTTAGTTGTTGGTCGAAATAGACGCCTAAATCTTTCACAGTTTTGCTACTCTCAAGAACACGTTCATCCATTGTATAGTTGTACATTAAAGGATTGGTTTTCCGAAAAAATTACCACCCTACATTCACTTATATTAAGACGAAGTTGATTCTTGACGCACTAGTTTTGTAGAAAATTCATTTGACCTTGAACGGTCTTCCAAGCAGGAGACTGATGAATAAAATCTAATATCATCTACGAACATCAATTTAGAACAAACCAAAGATTCACATATATCATTAACGAATAATATGACCACAAATGGTCCTAAATTCGAACCTTGTGGAACACCCTTGGTCGGGGCATAAGCTTGCAATGTGTAGCTATTATGGAAAACTGTTTGCTTTCAACCGACACGATGTTGAAAGCATCACGTCAGTGCTGTTGAAGCCTAGGTACTCAAGCTTTTGAATCAAAATGCCATCTACCATTCCTCTGTTGTCCTTTCTGTTGCTAAACGCCATTAAATCTGTTAAGGTTGAACGTTGCCTCATGAAACTATGATGATCAATGGCAATATAATTTTTTTGGAGGTTGCATTGAAGAGCAACTATAATGAATGCCGCCTCCCTCATCAAATGAGTTTTTTCTTTGTTGTTATTTTAACTAAAAAATAAAGACATACTATTATTATTATTATTATTATTATTATATATGTGATGTCGACTAGTCGACTATTAAAGCTAGACCTAGATCAAGTGTGCATCCCTATAAAGCACTTATCCAACGTCGCTGGTCTTATTGGTGTTAAAAATCCGAACCATTAAATTGACTTGTTCTTAAACTCGCCTCTAATAATAAAATACAGATCAATCAATAAAACAATTATTAAATCAATTGACTCTAGAAATCACTCCTTAATACAATCAATGTAGAGATGGTTCACTCGTCTGCTACAGACGGTTGATTAGCCAGATAAAAAAACAATTGACTCTGTTAAAACTTCTTTATTAGCTCGGGCTGGTTGAGGACTGTAAACATCAAGTATACCCACATAATTAGCTAATTGACTGTCCTGTTATGACATTCGATGATAACTTAACGGCCTGTTTTGAGTTTGTCCCCTAATTAGTTTAATTCTAGACGCAGAAAACATGCTTGATTGGTGATTCGATGTTAGAGCGATCTTGAAAGATGACAAAGCGGTAATGAATGGAAACAAGCTGTAGAACAGTATGAAAAATGGCAACAAGTAGGTTGACTCTGCACTCCCCACCCAATGCCGTTATCAGTTCAGAACAAACTAAGTCCTCTGAGAAAGTCCATACATTTGGTCCATGGACATTATTTCCCTGATCCACCTGTAGTGCATCTGGAAACGTCGCCTCTCTCCGATACTTAACTCGGGTCAGACGTGGCAGCGCGGTCAGAGCATAGGAAACACTATGCTGTGACGCGGCAGGAATACGT